TGTAAACTTTTTTGTAAAAAGTTCCTCTAAATGTGTTTGTACAGAACCACTTCTGTTTCCTGAGAGAGAGTGTGTAAACAACTAAACACACAAATGGAAATCTAGAATGACCAACTTCATGAGGTTTAAACAATATGTTACCATGGACCACAAAACCAGTAATAAGGGTCAATTTTTCAAAATTTAGATTTATACATCATCCAAAAGCTGAATAAATAAGCTTTCCATTGATGTATGGTTTGTTAGCAAAGGACAATATTTGGCTGAGATGCAACTGTTTGAAAATCTGGAATCTGAGGGTGCAAAAAAAATCAAAATATTGAGAAAGTCGCCTTTAAAGTTGTCCAAATTAAGTTCTTAGCAATGCATATTACTAATCAAACATTAAGTTTTAATATATTTACAGTAGGAAATTTACAAAATATCTTCATGGAACATGATCTTTACTTAATATCCTAATGATTTTTGGCATAAAAGAAAAATAATATATAATTGATATTTATTTTATAACTATAATTTTGACCCATACAATGTATTTTTGGCCATTGCTACAAATATACCCCAGCGCCTTCAGACTGGTTTTGTGCTCCAGAGTCACATACTGTCAGGATTCTGGACTGTTCTGTGTCGTGTTTTGCCCCTGTTTCTGGCCCTGTGTTTCCTTATTTGGTCCTTCCTGTTTCCATTAGGTTCCATGATTATTTCATAATTTGTTTCCAGCTGTGTTTCACGAGTTCGCACTAACATATAATATGATTGAGCAATTAGTAGCATATTTGGCGTGCTGTCCAGAGGGAGGGCTCCGAGCTCGGGATAGAGCCCGAACCCAGAGAACTCCCCAAAAGAAGCTAATGGCATGAGACAGCAGCCGGAGAGAAAATTGTTAGTAGCCCCCCAAAAATATGTGTGCCGTGAAGAAAATGTGGGGTGTGCGAGGAGGCGGCAGGGCGACTGGGAGGGGTCGTGCGGTGCTTGACGGGAGCTGCGGCTCTCCACGTCGGATGGCAACCCCTACCTGCTGCCGAATAAGGCGCACGATGGAAGGCCAGCTGAATGCGTGGCGTGATTTAAAGTGTCAGATGGAGGGCTCTCACTACGACCGAAGGGAGCTGTGGCTCTGCCGCACCAGAAGGGAGATCCCTGTCCGATGCGGAAAAAGCAAATGGGGTTCAAAACGACGGATGGAGGGCTCTCACTGCGACCGAAGGGAGCCGCGGCTCTGCTGCACCGGAAGGGAGAGCCCTGTCCAATGCTGAATAAGCCTTGAAACTCGAAACAACAGATGGAGGGCTCCCGCTGCGACCGAAGGGAGGGCACTGCGGCGGCAGTAGCAAATGAGCAGGGCACTGCGGCGGCAGTATCAAATGAGCAGGGCACTGCGGCGGCAGTATCAAATGAGCAGGGCACTGCGGCGGCAGTATCAAATGAGCAGGGCACTGCGGCGGCAGTATCAAATGAAGCGGGCACTGCTGTGGCTGTATCAAATGAAGCGGGCACTGCAGCGGCAGTATCAAATGAAGTGGGCACTGCTGCGGTAGTATCAAATGAAGCGGGCACAGTATCAAATGAAGCGGGCACTGCAGCGGCAGTATCAAATGAAGCAGGCACTGCAGCGGCAGTATCAAATGAAGCGGGCATTGCTGTGGCAGTATCAAATTAAGCAGGGCATTGCAGCGGCAGCATCAAATTTCATTTAACTGATCAGAATTAGATGGGCTTTCTTTGTGTGAAAATTATTGGTCCTAATATAGCTCTTGAAGGCGTCCGATGACCATCGACCGAGAGCTTGGATCTGCTGCTGTGAGAGGCCTTTTTGAGCTGCTGTAGTTGCTGCCCCGATTCGGAAGGATTGGCTGGAAAGTCTTTCTATGGGTATGCCTGGTTGGACGATGTTTTTGAACATCGTTTAAATAGATGTTTTTGAAACCAAAAACGTGTGACGGGGTGGTTACAGTCATCGACAAAAAGAGGGTCAAGAGGGGATGTAGACTGAGAGCTTCTGAATTGGAGGTAAGAAAAAGGGCCTGATACGGTTGGATTGGTGACGGGAGGTTAAAAATTTAGGCTCGTTTGAGGCCTGCCGCTGCGACCCAAAGCTCGAGAAGGGCCGGGTCTTGTGCGGGACGATGGTGGTGTCGAGCGAGGCGAGTTCGAGACTTTGCTCGATCTATTGGCCGCCTTGGCTAATTTGCAGGGAGAAGAATAGATCATACAAATCAGCTTTGTTTACCCTCCATGAGAATGGTTTGTCTGAATAAATCAGCATTTGCTTCAGGCTTAAATACTATCCATTTTCCGATCGGGGGATATGTTGGCATGGCCGAATGATACGAGGATGTCGGGGAAGAAGTTGGAAGTCTCGCCGGTGAAGGCGAGGTTAAGCCTTGGCGTTGTGGAGAGCGTGTGGCTGGTCGAGCAGAGTGGCGGCCGCGATGAAGCCTGGTGCTCGGCGGTGGTGACTGGCGGAAAAGGAGTGAGCCTATTGCGACGGAGGATACGAAAAATCCCCAGTACAGGTCTCGTCGTAGTACGGAAAAAGTTGAGTCTGTGATATAATGGCCAAAGGAGCAAAACCGAATGCTGGAAAACTGTCGTGGAACAGAGGTAAGTTGGCTGTATATATACGTATTGTGCTTGTTAAGGTGATTAGCTGACGAGCTCCACCTGGGCCAGACTGATTGATTATCTGATCGTGCTCCTCCCGAACCTTGTTAATGAAACATCATTTAGTTAATTATCCTCATTTCCCTGTGTATTTAAGTCCTAGTCTGTTCAGTTTGTGTTTGTCAGGTCTACTCGTTCTCTACGTGTGTTGGCTCAAGTTTCTATTGTGGATTATCTCCTGTGTTTCATGATTAAAGACTGTTAAACGTTTCCTCGTGACTCCAGCGTGTTCCCTCAACAGCGTGACGTGACAGAAGACCTGACCAAGTACAGTTACCTCCGTGTGTTCCCTCTGTTTTTGTTTCTGTTTTTTCCTCAGTGTGTTATTTTTTTCCCGTTGTTTCTATGGATCCCCTCCTTCGCCCCGAATTCCTCTTCCTCCTGCTGGAGCAGGGGGAGCGCTCGCTCAAGGACCATACCAGACTGTTTCTGGCCCTCGCCGAACTTACCAGCTACCCGGATGCTCTGCGCGTTCTATGACGCTAGCCTGAACACCGCATGCAGAGCGCCGTCATCCGAAGATGGTCTTTGAGCGGAATTCGCTGCCTTCGTGGAGTGGACTCTGGCGAGAAACGAATCGCCATCCAGCCCCGTGGATGATCTCGTCAGATCCACTCCAGACCCAGTGCCCAGCCCACCATCTCCCCGCGCATCAGCCCGAGCCCACCGATGACGGAAAGCCAATTCCCGCCGTGATCAGCGAGTCAGCGCAAAGCCGAGCGGCTGAGCAAAGGATCGCTGCGGACGTAGAGCTCAACTCGTCAGACCAGGTGCAAGAGCCGGCGACAATGCCCGCCACGAGGGAGAAAGCCCCTGCACCGCAGCTGAGCTGAGTATGGTGCGGCGAAAGTGCCAAACCGAAGAGGAGAGGGCTCCAGTCCCCGAATCCAGTCCAGAGCGCCCTCCAGTACCAGCTCCTCGTAAGCGTCCTCAAGTGTCCGCTCCTCCTGAGCGCCATCCTTTTCCCGTGTTCAGCCTAGAGGGGGCTTCCGATCCAAAGTTAAGCCCTGAATGCCCGGAGACTCACAAATGCCCGCTCGCCCACCCACTCCTGCCTCCTTCACCGCTGTCGTCTGGCAGCCCCTTTGCTCGCCCTCAGCCCACCATCATTACGGTGCGAGCTCCGCGGGTCTGCCATCCTCCAGCTTCGCCATGGCTGCAGAATACCTCACCTCCGTCTCCAGCCTCCGAGGCCCGAACTCCGCCTCGGCCCGTAGACCCAGCGGCTCCACCCTGGCCCCCCGGATCCTCGGCATCCCCCTGGCTCACTGGCTCTCCGCCTCGGGCTCCTCCGCCACCTGCTCCGCCGCCGTTCGTCGGCCCCCTGGAGTCGGCGGCCATTCCTCCTCCATGGCTCCTCCATCCGTCGGCTCCACCGTGGGACGGCATTATGGCTGTGGCCTGGGTCCAGCTGGGCTCCTCCTGCTCCCTCCTGCTCCTCCTTAGTTCCCACCCATCCCCCCCCGTTGTTCTACGGTGCGAGGACGCACCTTCCTGGAGTGGGGCGATATGTCAGGATTCTGGACTGTTCTGTGTCGTGTTTTGCCCCTGTTTCTAGTCCTGTGTTTCCTTATTTGGTCCTTCCTGTTTCCATTAGGTTCCCTGATTAGTTCATCATTTGTTTCCAGCTGTGTTTAGTTAATTATCCTCATTTCCCTGTGTACTTAAGTCCTAGTCTGTTCAGTTTGTGTTTGTCAGGTCTACTCGTTATCTACTTGTTGTGAATGTCATCCTTGTGCTCTGTGTCTCCTATTTGAATCATTAAAAGACTCTCGTTCTGAGAAATCTCAACGTCTCCTCGTTTCCGTGCATCCAGCTTATTGTGACACATTCTCTTTAACACATATTTTTCCTAAATATATACATATTTACAGAGTGTCTTTTGTATAAATTATCACAATCTGATTATCTCATGTGTTTCGTGATTAAAGACTGTTAAACATTTCCTTGTGACTCCAGCGTGTTCCCTCAACAGCTTGATGTGACACATATAGGGTTTCTTTCGGTGTCTGCTGCAATTAATTAATTTTAAATTAATAATAATAACAAGAAAAAAAATGCCAAAGTGAATAAAATGCCAGTTTTGTTAAGAAATGCATACATTGACAATTTATATTTGTCAAGACTTGGTTCTACAATTTTTGTCTGTTTTGAAGGTTGGCAGATACTTTGGTGATTTTTAAAACATTTCTTTTCCACAGGAGACGAGGAGAAGACAGCTAGCAGACGCTGCAGAGAAGAGACAGAAAGAGGTAATGCTTCAAGAGCACTAACACTGATATCTGACAGCATTACATGCATAAATGGCTATTGAAATACCCTGTTTACAAAATACTGTTGGAGATTTGGGCTTCAGTATCCCATCAGTACTTCTGGATCAGGACAAACTCAGGATTCGAGCGATTATGATGACCCGAGTTGGTGTCAGTGGATTTTATGTCACATTCACCTCTACCAGCACAACAATCACAAATATAAGATCAGATTCATAACATTGATTATCTAACTGGACCCAGTCTCAGCAGCACCACATTGCATCATATTTATTACTATAATCTATAGGTATCACTATTTTGATAAACTCATTCTCTCATGACTTCCTGCTCTACATCTTTTATTCAATTTTTTTCCTTTTTTTTTTTTTCTTCTCTCCAAGTCGGCAAACAACTATTAGGACAACAAAACAATGATCCTCACATTTTGAGATCCTTTTTAAACATCAGTGATTTGTGGAATAGTGATTTTAATTTGCACACGTGGTTGCTGGGCCATTTTACTGTCTTAGAGGTTTAAGGCCAAGCATAGAGGTGCTAAAGCGACACGGTAAGTACACATCCTCATTCTGCTGTGTCCACAGACACTCTGCAGCTGAAACACCACGACAGGCATTTGTGTGATGTCAGAATGAGCTGGATTCTCACTGCTGCTGTAATGTCACAGTGCTGGTAGCCATACAGCTCTTTTTTCTGCTAACGTAATGGTGAACATGATAGTGTTTCGTCATTATCATTTACAGAGTCCCATTACATCTTTAGAGTTTAATAGTATTGAAAAGTATGACTTAGTATTGAAAATCATTATTGTTTTGCAATCATTAGATTTTTTTTAGTAAATTGGCCAGACTCATTATGGCAATGAGAACTTGTTGGGAAAATCTGTTTAGTAAAATATGATTATTTTGATTTATGTCAGGTTTTGTTTTAGTTTTTGCACACTCTGTACTCACATTTCCAGCTTGTCTACTGTGCAGCATGATTCTGCAAGTGAGCACTGATTAATATCACACACTGGACTAGTTGTTAACTAATGTTTGGATTCATTTCTGAAATGTGCTGTTGCTCCCACTGAATATGGGAACATGTATGGTGTGGCAGCTGTATTTTGTCTGAACTGTGTGTAGATCACCTACAGAGGTATCAAAAACCCAGAAGCCTTGGAGAGGAAAAAGAAGAAACAAGAAGAGACAGAGAAACAGACTATGAATTCTGTACCATCTGAAGGTGGCGGGCTAAAGGTACATAAACTATTTACATTTTCCACAAATAGAGGACAAATTGGTGTCCTATTATTATTATTATTATTATTTATTTAATATTTAATATGTAATTAAGATACTTAAGAGTATGTTAAACTACCATCTAGCATGAAAATAGGTTTTTATCAAAAGTCTGTATCAAGTTGTCCCACTTCAGAGGTCATGACCTTTGAATTTATCTTTTTTCTTTTTTTCTTTCTTTTATTATACAAAATGCAGTTATGATTCCATTTTGATGCATGAATCAATAGCACTTCAGAAAAAAAAATACACTACCGTTCAAATATTTTGTGTCAGTTATTTGTTTTAATATTTAAAATCAATATTTTTTTTATTCAGCAGGCATGTATGAAATTAACAAAAGATTTTAAATAAATATGTTTTATTAATCAAAGGAGCCTGAAAAAAAAAACAATTACAGTTTACACAAAAATATTAAGCAGCACATCTATTTTCAACATATAAGATATGGATAATAAGAAGAATATAAAATATAACATATAGATTATAATAAATGTTTATAAAGCACTAAATCAGCATGTTAAAATTATTTCTGAAGGATCATGTGACACTGAAGACTAGTTATAAGTTAAGTTAAGACTATAAGTTTTAATAATATTTCACAATATTACTGTTTTTTAATCAAACAAATGCAGCCTCGGTGAACATAGAAGGCTTATTTCAAAAACACTAAAACATCTTATTTTATTTCGTAAAGTGTTTTATTGGTTTAATTAAAACAGCATATCATAGCTATTAAAAAACTAATAATAATAAACAATCCTACAACCCACCCAACAGAACAGACATTTATATGATATATAATTAGATATAGTTGAATGTAAGTACAGGTAACAAACTTGCAAACCTGCAAACCTCATGTAAAATACATAGAAAATATTTCATATAATATTTGGTTTGACCTTCTGAGCGGGACAACATTTTCTAAAGGTTAAGTTTCTTCTTTCATTGATATTTGATGATAAAGGGGTCATATGATGCGATTTCAATTTTTCCTTTCTCTTTGAAGTCAAACTCATGAAGAGCAGTATGATTATTTTTACATTGCACATGATAAATCCTGAGTGTATTTATTTGTATTATTTTATTATTTTCTCTCTCTTTCTCTACAGTGGCAGGTTGGCTAACACAGGCTGAAGTGAAGATCACTGGTCATTTCCCGCTGACTTGTTCTTTCGGTTCTTCTTTTGAAATGTACACTAGCAAGGGGAGTTTGCATAGAGACTAGAATTTTTGTCAAGCTCCCACACAAAGCTTCTAATCCTCCAGGCCTTCTGATTGGCCAGAGTGCATTCAGGCCACACCCCTTTAAATGCCAAGCTGGGCAAGCCATTGGATTTCTGGGATAGTGCTTTTAGCAATTAATGTTTTTTTCCCACAACTTATTCAGTTTATGTTTATGCATCATTTCACACACGCAGCTTTTGTACCAATGTCCTTTCTATTTTTGACATTGATCAAGAACTGAGTGTCATTTTAATGCACGTTTATACAACTGAAAAGCATGTTTTATATTGGATTTTGGATCATTTAATACATATTTAGCCATTTATATTTATGCATCAGTTACCAGTGTGTTTTGGTTGTAAGCTCATAGTGTTTAGCGATTTGTCAGGACTTGAAGTATAATAATAATGAAGAATATTGAAGGATATTATGTCTGTTAGCACTTTCACTGCCTGTTGATTGTATGACTTGCTGTTCTTATGAACCAAATTGAATGTGCATCACTTTATCTTATCAGACACATTAGTTTCTCACCCTTTCTGAAGGGCTTTGGTTGTCTTAAGTTAAGAAAATCTTAACTTATCACATTAAAACTCAACATCCATGTGTTGGGCCGTGCAGCAGTGACTGTAGCAGACTGAGCTATAGTGAACAGTGTGGAATACACTTTATCTCTAGGAACTCTGAGTGAACTCTACATATTGCCTTTGATGCATTTCTTTTATGTTATGCTCATGAGTTATTACCTCTGCCTACAGCTACTCACTCAATGCTTGTGACAGGGAAACAGATTTGTACCAAATTATCAAGTGAAATATCTTCCCAGGGTTCATTCAGAATGGGTTATTAACATACAGACACTGTATAACAATAATACAATACGTCAGACAAAGTTTTGCAATGTTCATGCTTACCAGTAGAGGGCAGTGGCACACTTTCAGATCAGGAACTGTTTTAGAACCACAATTGCAAGGAGGCATTGCTTAAATAAAGATTGTGTTTGATTGAACAGCCAAGTATTTGTTACTATTTGTTGCAAAACTGAAAAATCTCTTTTGTCTTGTAACTGATGTACTCAAACCTCTTCAGTGCAATACTGTACTGCAAATAACTCACACAGTGCTCACTTTATTACTGGGAAAAGTCCTTAGAGAGTCTGGTACTTGTTAACTAGAAATCAAGCAGTCAATGCAGATTTGTTGGTTGGACATTCTTGCTATGAATGTGCCATTACACCCAATGCCAAAGGTGCTCTATTGGACTGAGATATTGTCTGTGAAGACCACTGGATTACACTGAACTCATGATAAGAGTTTCCTATGCTTGGCTGACTTCAGGAGATCGATTGATGTCCATTCAGACATGTTCTTCTGCCTTGCACTGATGTTGCGATCCAAGTTTTCCAGTCTGGTCATTCTCCTTTGACCTTCTACAGAGCTGCCGCTCACTGAATGCTCCCAGGAGATCAGCAGTTTCTGATATTCAAAGCACCATTCCATGATTATAGTCATTTCCATCACATTTATTCCTATTCTGATGTTTGGCGTGAACAGTGTTGGGGAAAGTTACTTTTAAAACTAATGCATTACAATATTGCATTATTTAGTTACTTTAGGGAAAGTAATGCATTACGTTACTTTTTGTCACCTGGGTTGGGCTTGCTGCTTTATTTTTTTAATAACAAAAAAACCCAAAAGCTATATTTTTGGTAACTGTAAAGGCCCTTTCACACCAGACGTGAAATTATTAAGCCTCAGGCTGAAGAAAGTGCCTCTGCACCTCACTCCCAATTTCTCTCAACACAGGGACAGGAGAGCTGCCAATAAATGGGAAAACAACTTATTTGAGAAAGCAACTCAGATATTTCGGTGTAAACTTAAAAGTAATGAGTTACTTTACTAGTTACTTGAAGAAAGTAATCTGATTATATAACTCAATTTTACATACTAAGAACATAATAATACCCCATAAAAAAAATCATTAATACAGTTAATATAAGAAACACTAAAAAGAAAAGCCACCAGAAGTGAATACTTAAATGAATCCAGCGATTTCATTCTGTATAGACATGATTGAATGTATTAGGTTATTACGCATTTTATATTTAATCAGTTAAACAAAACGAGACTAAAAAGAAAAGAAATGAAAGAAACTGGTATACAAGAAAACAGCCTTGTTTCTGGATTCCGGTTCTTCTGTATCTTTGTTATACACAAACTAGCTGATCTACACTATCATGATTTTTTCTCTTTAAACACTTGTTAGTTCTAAAAGCCAAGTGGAAGTCCATGTGTCCTTGTGGCATCTACAATGGCTTGCCAGTGAGCTGTACTTCAATGTTACATTGAAAGTCATTGTTTTATTCAGAACATTTCTTCTTTACTTCTTGCTTTTGTAGTGGGCCGCCACTACCAGGTAGCTGTCGGGCGCAAGGTCTTTGATGTTGGGAGATTTGCCGGAGATGGGCGAGATCTTGCCTTCTACACGAGATATCTGGAGCATGCGACACGGGTCATGCTTCAGCAGGTAGCTCTCGAACGTCTCCCAGCCTCCGCCAACTCGCACCATCACATGTTTATTATGCAGCATCTAGAGAGACAGAGAAAAAGACAGATAGACATTTATTGTACGTGAATTTTGATTTTGATTTTGATTGATTTTGAGCATCTCTGGTTGGATTGCAACCCTCAGGAGGTGAGATGCATGTAGACAGGCCACAGGCATTTGAACTCTTTGACCCCCTTGAAAACTGACGTTTGTTAGCGCCGCAGGAATGCAAGACTGTATGAATGAATGGGACTGCCTGCTTTGCATCTGGGTTAATGCATAACTGTATGTCACAAATAGGTTGACAAAGTCTGACGTAACATACGTTTTGTGTAATGGAGGCCAGCCAGAATTAGATAACTGCAGGTAAGCATCAAGGCCTGTAGAAGTGATGCTAGGGGATGCACTTCCAAGCACATCCAACTTTGAAGCCAGTTACTGGGCTTAAACCGGAATGTGTAGAACTGATTACAGTGGTGCCGTGACCCGGATGGATATGAGTGTAATAGAGGCCAGCTGGTACAAGATAGCTGTGCAGGTACAGAAAATCTCACTTTCCTGCAGAGGCATGCTATTGGCTGCGGTCTTTAGCGTCCTCGTTAGCACGCCAGACACCCTGGCTATTGCCAGTTCAAACCCCCTCAGAGTGAACCAAGTGAGCCAAGAGGAAACGATTACATATGCAAGTACATGAACTGTGCATAGTCTTTTACTAGGCTTAAGTAAGACATCTGTGTCTGCAAAGCATTTGTGTCTGCAAAGAGTGTTTCAGGCCTAATTCTGGCATTCGTGAAAGCACATTTGGCAACAAAAAAAAAAAGCCTCTGCCATCAAACTCCTTTAACAGCTCCAGCACCATAATCACACCCTTTTATTAGCTATCTGTCACCTGTGGTTCCCACTGTGGAGCTCCCTCTATGCAGAGAGCTGTGCGAGTCACTGAGAAGAGAGGCTATATTTTCTGTAAAGTATTTTTTCATGTGCCTACATTCCCCAGAGGTCTAAATTCAGGAGTCCACTGCCTTATCACAACATCTATTATTACCTCAGATTATCCAATCAAGATGGTTTCTACACCGAAAGAATTATTCACATTTATACAGGAAATAAGCCTTTTTTTTTTAAGTTGCTCTAAGCAATTATTTTGTTTATGTTTTACTAATCTCAGATGGTGTATTCATGGACCACCATAGTCTGTTCACTGACCATCTGATGCATACTGGACAAAATGGCAAGATTTGACTGAAAACCAGAATGTCCAGTTAGGGGTGTGTGATATTTATTGTCCAGATACAATATACAATAAACAATCGCCATTTATTGTCTCATATAAGTCAAGGTATGAAAGTAAAAAATATCCCTATATGTTTTTTTTATATATATATATAGATATATATATATATATATATATATATATATATATATATATTTATAAGATATTATATACTTAAGTAATATCACACAAGCAAGAGTGACGTTTTCCTAAATATTAGCGCATGAGCGTTGGCTCTCATTTGTCTTCCCATTTTTGTTTATTAACTATTACATGCCATAGCTGGCAGGGGTGTGACGAGATCTCGTGGCACGAGATCTCGCGAGATCCGATGTGTCTCTCGAGATCTGACTGGTCTCGCGAGAACGATACGATATCCCCTTTGTTGGCCAAAAAATCTTGTTTGCTTAATTTTCAATAATTAAAAGATAAATGATATATAAATATTTTTCCCTATATATTTCATCATTGAGGATTTCTTTAAAAAAGTCTAAAAATCTCGTCTCGTTCTCGTGAACCCAGTCTCGTGTCTCGTCTCGTCTCGTCTCGTGGGATAAGTGTCTCGTCACACCCCTAATAGCTGGCCATCGTGATGGGGCCCCTTGCTTAATGCAGAATAAAACAGACTTTTAGCAGCTGTTAAATGGTTCTTTTATGGCATCTCCATGAAAACCTAAGAGTGTAGTATGAAGCTTAGTATTAAATACCTTACTAACCCATAGTCACATTGAGATGCGTGTGTGTATGAGGAAATTTGAGGATGAGACCTATTTTGCTTTCAATTTAAATGGGAAAAAAAACTTAAAACAACTAATAAATTATATTTGCATGAAGAAAATATGTATGCATATGCATATTTACTATTAATCAATATTCAATACCCCATTCTCAGTAGCATACTGTAATGTAAAAAAAAATAATAATAATCGCCCTAAAATAGGATTAATTTTCCTTATACAAAATATTTTGAGGTGAAATATGAGCCTGACATTTCTTAGTGAGTTTAATGTTGAATCTTCGGTTTGGATTCAACCCCCCCCCCCATCACATAATAATAGTTAATCATAGTCCCAATAAAAATTTGCACTGGAGTAATTCTACTGTGATTCATCCCTCTATTAAAGCCTCCGTCTCTACGGCCTTGAACACACATGCTGCTAAACAGTCTTTCATAAAGGGTGAGAAATGACTAAATGTCAATGTGATAACACACTGAAACCTTCTCCTGTGGGATAAAGAGCTGAACAAGCCGTAGCCTCCAGACACACGCTCAAAAACAGATCTGTGAGGACAGGAAAAATGAATGAACAATAAACAACAACAGAAAAATCTCATACTGTGAGCTGCAGCTCATATTAACCCTTCAGGGGAGTGATATTAAAGTTTCATAAGGCTCTTAGCAGGCTGACAGAGGGACATTCACAGGTCAGCCTCTCCAGATGGGCGTTTCTGTGGCCCTCAGGCATAGAGCCACAAATATATTAGCAATCAGACTCTACAAGTCACCACAGGACCCCTATATAAACACACCGCAGACACACTTATAAAGCAGCTCAGGTCTGTGATGTTGAAGGTTATCACAAAAAAGTCCCTTAATAGGGAACACACACACACAATCAATTTCTTTCAGGAGCACCAAAGTTCAACAGGTTAAACGACACACACTGAAGCATGCAGTGTATTTAAATGAGAACTGGATGAAAACACGGCTTTCTCTATAGTAAACCATCTGGGGAATCTGATGGGTATTTCGACAGGAAGGTCTTTCAAAGACATACACAAAAGGAATGTGTCCTTGAGACAAATTCATTCGCTTATTTCAGAGAGAAAGCAGATTTGCTTAACCTGGCCTTGGTTGCTGGGCAACACGTTTTAAGGCAGTTGGAGTCGTTCTGTCAAAAAATATGCTAAGAAAAGGATTTTAGCAATTTAAGTCATGAGATGGATAGAGAGGAAAAACAGGACCTCTGTGTTTATTTAAATAAACATTTTGTAACCAATTACATGTAAACGCATGTACCATGGTTTAATAATGGTATCGTTGATACACTACGGCTGTGATTCTCAACTGGTTTGCCTTCAAGGCCCAGATTTTACACCTAAAGAGGCAACCAAACAGTGCCAAAATTATCTTTCGAAAGTCAACAAAAATGTCTTTTAAACCAAACATTATTTATTAATATTACCCAGAACTGCTTGAACAGCAGAAGCGTGACTGAGTTTGAGTGTTTGGTCTGTTGAATATCAATGTCTCTTGAATTTTTCATCCTCTCAGCAGGCAATAATACACAAAACATATTGCGGTTGGCACACCCTGTATTTAATGTGGTCTGATATATTTACTTTGTGTAGTTTTGTTCATTGTTTTTTGAGAATGAGGGTGTCATGTAACTTGCCCATGTTGACATCTGACTAATTTGATTTAAAAAGATAAGTCCATTTAATTTTCTCTCCTGAATGTTAAATTGCACGGTTTGTTGGTATACCGCGTTTAGTTTTTTTGTAAGGAGTTTTTTGAATGTGACGTGCAGTGTGGTGCAGAAACAGTGAAATGTGTTAGTTTCCCTCTATAGGGGGCAGCAGTGATGCAGCATGCTTCATTTCTCAGCGAGAGAGCAATTAAAACCAGCACTGACTAATGGGATTCTCCACAGGCGACTGAATTAATATCAGCTGCAGTGGTTTAACATGATGAATCGCTGCAGTCAGTGTTTTAAATGAAAGCCAAGCTCTGACATCTAAACTTGAAAAAAAAAAAGGAAATTATATTTATTGTGTAATTATGAGGCCTAGGCCGCTAAAGTTGATTGAATCAAATTACTGAGTTCATGGAGAGAGAGCAAAATAGAGATCATATTTAATTTGTCTGCTATGAATGTCTAACGGTGGACATAAATGCATAACAGGACAATTCTGTCATTTTGTCATTTCAAATGTCATCTCAAATCAACATTAAAAATGTAAACATTTTAAACATTTTTTTTAAATAAAATTTCAAGCTCCAAACATCCTGAGATTCAAGTTTCATTACAAGCAAGCTCTTAACTCCCACTGGCATATCCTTGGTAACCAAGAAAAAAAATAAATTTAGATGTTTATTATATATATGTTTATTGTCATTTTCTTAGTAATAATAATAATAATAATAATAAAATTGATAAGCTTCATTTTCTAATTTTTAAAATGAAAGTCTGGGACAAGGGTAAAAACATTTGAATATTTACACTTTTTAAAGGTGACTGTTATAGTGTCACACAAATCCACTTAACTTAATGTACTTACTATTGTCAGACTCTGTTCCATGTTTTGTGTGTGTCCTGCTCCCCGTTTTGTGTGTGTCCTGCTCCCCATGTGCCTTCCCATGCCCTTATTTGGTTAGTTTCCTGTTCCTGTCCTGATTAGTTTATTTGTCCCAGGTGTTTCCCTTGATGTTTCATTGCTCCCAGGTGTGTCTCGTCATCCCCTCCTCCTGTGTGTATAAAAAGTGTTCCCAGTCCCAAGTTCTCTGTCCGCTGTTAAACGTCTTCCTGAGTTCGTCTCCCTTGGTTACTGAAAATAAAGTCTTGGTAAAAGTATTCTCCAGCGTCTCCTCGTTCCTCGTGTGTGTGCATCGTGACAACTATAGGGTTAAGATTAGTTTACAGGTTTGGTTTATGGTTAGTTGCTTGCAATCATTTATTATACTGTTATTACTATTGTAAGTACATGTAACATGTATGCTACTGAGAATGAAAATTTCACATTAAAATAAGTGTTACCATTTTAATTTGAATGAAAAACTATTAAAGGAATAGTTCACCCAAAAAAAAAAATAATTTGCTGAAAATGTACTCACTAATTTACTCAGGCCATCCAAGATGTAGATGTGTTTGTTTCGTCATCAGATTTGGCGAAATGTAGCATTACATTATTTGTTTACCAATGGATCCTCTGCAGTGAATGGGTGCCGTCAGAATGAGAGTCCAAACAGCTGATAAAAACATCACAATAATCCACAAGTAATCCACACCACTCCAGTCCATCAGTTAATGTCTTGAAAAGCTGCATGTTTGTAAGAAACAAATCCGTCATTAAGATGTTTTTAACTTCAAACAGTTGCTTTCAGTTAAAATATAAAAGTCCTCTATCCATAATATTGCTTTCCCCAGTGAAAAAGTGGTCTGGTCTGAATCAGGAGAGAAATATACAAAGATCAAACACAGTTTACAAGCCAAAACAGCTCTAAACAAATATGTAGGTGGATTTTGATGTGAGAGGCCAGAAGTGATGGTTTAAAACAGCTTTTCACTTTTAAAACAGCTATTCACTTAACTTCAAAGATATTAATTGATCAACTGGAGTAGTGTTGTGGATTATTGTGATGATTTTACCAGCTGTTTGGACTCTCATTCTGACGGCTCCCATTCACTTCATTGGTAAGCAAGGGACGTAATGCTATTTTTTTTTTTCAAATATGTTCAGATGAAGAAATGAACTCATCTACAGTACATCTAAGATGGGTTGAGGGTGAGTATATACAGCAAATTTAAAATTGAGTAAACTATTCCTTTAATGCAACTTTTCAGACCGACACGAACATTCACATGCCGTCAATGCAGTAGGTTTTTTTTTTCAAGTTGGTCTAGTTAACATACAGCAATTGGTTTAGTGTGGGAATTGTTTTCTTTACATAGAGTGTTGTGATTTTTCCATTAATTTTCCTTCTGTAGTGCTTTTTTGTCTCTAGTTAAGCTTGCTTACTGAAGACACCAGCACACCGTTATCCAAAAACATATTGAGGTCAGCTGTTATAATAGATATTAGAATTAAATTTTAATTTCTATCTTAAAAAAAAAATAAATCCAAAACTCTTAAAATTGTGGCATCAACATTTCACTAAGCATTTACCAGCCAACTAGATGTTTCTAAGACTTGGCCACAATTCCAGTCTTCATCTCTTATTTATTGAGTGCGAACACTCATTAAACACTCTTTCTAATGAGCTATGAATGATGGGAGTGATGTCATCACTCATGAGAGCAGTCATCAGTGTATTACTGCACAGCTCAGGGTAATAAAACACAACCGAGCACACAGATAACTCAGATCTAAAGCATCTTTTAGTCGTGTGTTGCCAAGTAACAGGTTTCCATGGTGACCAGGCCCATCTCACTAATCAGTCTTTGTCAGTTAGTGTAGTCTGTGCTGTTATGGGATGCCATAATGCCATTTAACAGAATAATGAAAGTGATCACACAGCAGGTAATGAATTTTCACCTGCCTATCTAGAAATAATGTTAAGGGATCCTAGGTGCTTCCTGACACAAAGTAAGCAGCATTGTGGTTCTTCTCACGTCTTCTTTTGGCAAAATTATAAGGCAGCACTGCATTTTACTTTATTGGAATCACTTGTTAGGGATGCTGTTTTTGTGGTGTGCAGATTTGTTGCCTATGAAGAATGTTTCAGATGAGTCACGAAGTTTCCATTTAAAGGATGTTGCATTACAAATTACTGTAGGACTGTGTCAGCACTATAAAATTCATTCTTTGGCCAAATTTGACATTGTTGCATATACTGTGTCCATTAAGGTGACACATCCACAAAAACAACTATAAGCAATATCTTTTTTTTCTCCATTGCAGATGAAGGTTTATTAAACAGCCCAGTGTCGTGAAAAAAACTTTTTTTCCTGTGGGTACAGTTACAAAATGATATTGTGTTGCTTGTAGTTTCATGGCAGTTTAAAAGAAAAAAACAAAAAAAATCCAGTGACTGGTGCTAAATATTGTGTTCAGTTTTGTCCAAAACAGTCATAGAGTTAAACACAGTTTTATTACACTGGTTGTTGTATGTATCATGGTAGATGGAAATTAAATGTCCGGTAAGTGGCACTAAAAGGTTAACGCTCTATTGCATTTGAAATTAGTTTACCACCTACACTAAACTCTACCTTAAACCTAACCGATAGTGCGAGAAAAGCAAACATGAGATAAAAAAAGATATGAAATGCACAGTATGTAGAGGAAATGTATGGATATGAAATGTATGTAGAGGAACCTTTTTTCAGACATGAAAGCAGAGTTATGTATTTCCAATTAGCCTGATATGTAAATATGGCATCTAGCCTGACTACGGTTTGTTATGTGTTTTATACTTACTCTGATGAAAAGCATTTTCTCTCCAACACGGTAACGGCCCTGTGATTGTCGCTCTATGCAGAACTTATTTGGGCACTTACAGGGTGGATCTTCAGAAATGTGCTTCACCTGGAACGCATTGCATGTAAAATGACAGAAATCGTTAAATTCTCATTATAGAGCAAATAAACATCTGTCAGTCTAAAAGTTACTGTGTTACAGATGACAAGAGTGAAATGTGAGAAAGGAAATGTTTCTCACAGCCTCATCCAGTAGCTTGCCGGTGCTTTTTTTGCTGGAGTTGGTCTTGTTGAATGGAGAGACGGATGGAGAAGCAGATGGAGATTGGGAATTGGAAGTGGGAGGTACGGGTGAGAGCGGAGGTTCAGGTGTCTTCTCTTCCTGTTCGATCTCTTTCTCCAGCTTTATAAGTCCAGGTGGCTCGACTTTATATCTGACACAACAGTGACCATTCACACTTTACATTGTGTTTATATGTACAACAAAATGCTGATTTAAAATAAACAAATAAAAATGTCTCACTATTAAAACAGACCTATGTAGGACTATGTATGGACAATACTTAACAGATAACAGAATACTTCCTGATTGTAACATTGAAACAAGCCATTTTCTGTGAAGCTGCTTTACAACAATATATATTGTGAAAAGAACTATATATTGTACATAAACTTGACTAAAATTTACCTGGATGCTATTCTTCCCAGCTCCAGCAGACATAGACAAACCTCTCTTGGCTGTTTGTGTAAAACTAGATGAACATAAATGCAAAAAACCATTAGACAAAACACAGCTACTGTATCAATCGAAGAACTACAGAAAAACATCAGTGTGGTTGAATGATGAACCCAAGAGACCGCAAAATGACACAGAGATGATGAAAGAGTAATTCACTGACAGCTAATGTTCTCAGCAAACAGTGACTGAACAACACATGCTTTTCATATGGCATTGTGGAGCATACAAACTACATTTCCCATGATCCAGTGGAGCCCTGTTGGAAAAACCAGCATATGCAGGTTAGGTATGGTTAGGTTTGAGCTGGTTTAAGCTGGTCCTGAGCAGGAGCTAGTTGCTCAACCAGCTTAGGACCAGCACACTGTATGATCAGCTCATAACCAGTTAAGGACGAGCTTAAACCAGCTGCCATGCTTCAAAACATACCTAACCTGCATATGCTGTTTTGGGGTTTCTTTCAACAGGTAGTTGAGTGATGGCAACACAACACAACATGCATGAAATCTAGCATCTCCACATCAAACCTCAGAACATCCCACCTGAGCATAATGCATCCATGTGTTCATTTAGCTATTTCTAAAGAGGGAAAAGGAAGAAAAATGAATAAAGATTCTCTTTCAAATGTGATTATTTTTCTTTACAGTTAAAATTTGGTTAAATAACCCATCTTTTAACACCCTTTACACACCATACAGACGTGCTAATTTGATGATTAACCAGTTTTTTTTGGTGTGTAGAACAGATTTACAGCACAGCACAACACACCACACGCTTGATGAATCTCTTCTTGCACTGGTTTGCATTTCAAATCTCATGGGCGTCCAAGCAGATTTTTCTGAATATTCAAATGAAAGTGATGTTAGGGCAGCTTTTCTGGCTTGAGTTTCTCACAGATACGTCTACATACAACACATTTCACCACAACTAAAAACACACTCACATGCACTTTCTATTGTGTGTAACTCCAGAGGGAGAGAAACGATTCTTTCTGCATTCAGAAAACTCCCTGCTGTACTCCCTACCCGATCTCATCTTTCTCTCTCGTTCTTTCGGTTGTTTCAGCAGACTTGTTATTCTCTCCAGCTATCTTGGACATGTGTTGAAAGCACAGCATAAAGAAGCAGAAGCTGCGCAACAATCTACCTGGAGCTTTCGCCGTTTGTATTCCTGATTCTGACACATGACAGAGAGATGTCTGGTCCTCATACACATCATACAGCTGTTTACAGCTTTACACAGGAGAAGAAGACTTACTCTCACCATCATAGTTAGTGTCTAGAATACCATAATTCTGAGAAATGCAGGGAAAGAAAAATTTATATAATTTAAATATTATTTTATATTTATATAAAATTTTATTTAAAAAAAATGTATTTGTTCCAGCCAGAGACACACTTTTCCATTTGTAACTGACCCTTTCCAATTTCAGTCAATCATCCTCTCAAGTTTCAATATATTTCTGCATAATGGAGTTTTATGTACAGCAAAACAAACTAATCGTCATCCAAACATATTAGAAGCATTAGAAGTCATGTGACTTTCCATAGATATCCTTCAAATGAATTTGTGTTTTTGGCCAAATGGAATTTTAGAAAATTTAAAAACTCACTTTTCACACTCTTACTTATTTAATATGTCTATGAACAATGTCTACCTTGCTTTTGTTCTTCATTTTTGTCTAACAAATTTTTATTCTTTCCACTATAATATCAATATCAATAATACTATAATATAAATTCCACATTTCTGATCTCAAACATTTTAAACAATTTGAAAATAAAATGGCAGACAATGTCAAAGCATCATTTTGTGAATCTGTAATGCAAACAATTAAATATTTTTTACACTTTTTGCATAATTTATAAAAAAAAACTACAAAAACTTTTTTTCTTTTCATGTCTCATATTTCAGCCTATGCATGCTTGTCACCTTCCATGTTGATTTGTTACTATCAGAGTGCACTAACTTTTAATAACACTTTATTAGAGAAAAATGGGAAAAAAAAAATTTCAGAAAAAAAATATTTTTACCATTTCATGAGCACACATTTTACTAAGGATGTGAATCTTTGGGTAGACAGCAAATGTATTCAATTCATTATATTAATGCAATCCTTTATGCATTAATAGGATTATGTAAATAATCACACTATGTCTCCAATAATTTGAACATACGAGTAATTTAATGTTTAAACATTTTTTTTTAGCAAAGTTTTTAGCATTTTAAATCAATTATTGATCAAAACAAGCAATTCACGATACAAAAATCCATGTTTCAAGATCAATGAATATGCATCGGCACGATTTGTAATCAAATTCACTGAGAAAACAAGTGAATGAATTACATTCACCTAAAAATCACATCTGTTCAAATCCACATGAATTGTAGCATAATCCACCTTTTCGAGCTGATTTGGATGCAGTCTCTCCTAAAGGGCCTAAATTAATTTAATTTTAAATTATAAAATCTGTTGTTTTTGTATCTGATGATTGGTGCAGGTCCAAAACGCTCTCTCTCACTGCATTTACTCTAAAAATACAGAACTGCAGTTGTTGCGATAAATCAGGATTTAAGTCCTCTCACTGAGCAACGGATGATTTCATGTGAGTAAAAGACAACAACTGTATACTCATAACTCTTTGTTGCTGTGTCAGAGCTGGATTTGTTTAAAAGACTCACCAAGCCCATCTGACTCAAACAGACAGGTGTCGTCCACGCCCACCTCTCGACACCATGACAGGAAGTTGGCTGTGTTGTCCCTGGCGAAAAAGGAACCGGACGCGGCACTGGCTCGGCAGGGAATCCTGCGGCTGGGGATCGACTGAAAGAGAGAATTTGCTTTTGTTACTCAGTGCCACTGTAGAGACATTTGCATTTAAAATGTCTCATATGCAAGAGGAATGTCTCTGAAGAGAAGGGTGGCGAAGTCTAAACACTCCAAACATACTAAGGCCAGAAACATAAATGGATAGTTCACCCAAAATTCTAATTCTGTCATCCTTTACTCACCCTCATGTCGTTCCAATACTGTTCGACTTCTGTTCATCTGTTTACAAATGACACAAGCATGTTTGAACGTTCCATTTTTACCATATTTGACAAGCTCTATGTATGTGTTGATCAACGTTTATATGTGAATAAAAGCATTAATGAAATCCATTTATCATATAAAGTGAGTATTTATCTATAGAACACTTGGATTAAACAGCTTTGTTCACACTTTTTGAAGTGTCCAAACTGTGGTTGTGTGGACTTTCAATGAATGGGCATAAATGATGAGCGAATATTACAAATCTTTATTCGTGTTCCAAAGATGAACAGAAGTCTTATGGGTTTGGAACGGCATGAGGGTGAGTAAGTCATGATAAAATATTTGGGTGAACTAAACATTTAATGCAAGTATGCGAATGCAGCTAGGTCAGCGCACATACTTGCAATTGGTTATGAACTGAGTTCCAACACATTCTGCAATGCAATGATACATGAAGTCAATCTTGCATTGCAAGAAGCCAACCAAATGCAAATGTCAAGCGCTGGCGTAATCGGAGGGGTTACATTGGTGCCGTGACCCGGACGGGAGTGAGGGTTAGGGGCGTGAGTGTAACGGAGGCCAGCTGTGTGGGTAAAATTCACTCCCCTGATCTCAAGGCGCATCTGTTTCCCATGCCGGAAATGCTGGTTAGGATCCCGCTCGAGTGAGGCGAGTAAAACCAGAGGGGTTACACTCGCATCTGTGTTTGTATAAAGTATTTCTGGCCTAACTCATCTAACCTTTCCAAAATGTAGTTAGCTGCCTTGCTATCCAGTATCAACACAGGCAGCCACTTTCTAAGCTATACTAATTCAAATGTAACCTGTTATAAGGCATTACTATGTACTTTATAAGTGCTAATAAACAACCAATACACTAGTAATATGCATGCTAATAAGCAGCTAGTTAATAGTGAGAATTGGTCCCTAAACTATTTCTTCAAAATGCTGTCTAGGCAGCTCGCTAGGTCTTGAAGCAGAGCTCGAGTCTTGCTTAGCATTGTTCACATGTGAAGACAAAACCACACGGTTGAGGGGTAAAGGGGACTTTTTGGTTGAACCTGACCAAATAAATCAGGACAGAATGTTACTGGCCATGGATTTGGGGGTTTTAGAGAAGTTTTAGAAATCCCCTTCCCCATCTCTCCCCCTCCGTTTCCTTTCTCACTCAGTTTTCCCTACAATTCAGTACAGTTTTCCTTTCCCACCACAGTTTCTCTTCATGCTTTAGCTGGAAGACGTGACCACTAACCTTAAAGAAGTATGTGATCTCTTGTTTTCTGTCAGTCTCTCTCTTACTCTCCGTCTCACTCCTTCCCCCAGCAAGGGTCCGGATCGCTTTCCAAGCTTTCATTATTGCATACGCTTTCACAAACACAATCCCCCTTTCTCTAATCAATAATCAATAAGGATGAGCATGACAGATAAATGCATGCATTAGGAGCTGGTGGTGGTCAAATAACACATGAATCTCAGTGGGAGATTTACCCAGGAGATTTTTCATATAGGACACTGGGAAAGGTTAGATGAGGTCATGCTGGAAGAACGTAGTAGTTGCTGGAATAGATTGTTTTTTCTCGCTTTTTCCAGAATATTCTCAAGCTTCCTCGATGACCAGTTATCAAAGTATTAGTTCCTCTTGTGAAGTAAGGTTTGATCACCAGAATGACAAAAAGAACTACAACAAAAACAAAAGCAGCTATTATAATATAAAAGCCTTTCTAGATATGTGTTCCATTTTTGAAAATTTAGACTTAAGCTAATGCTAAAAAGCTAATATTTAAATCTAACATAACACCAGAAATTACCCCAGTTAATTTCTTATAATGGTTATAACAGTTATTCTGTTGCTGAAAAACAGATGAGTTGCCCATCAAATTGTGGGATCCAAATTGAATTGTGAGAAGATTCCCAGCCTTTAAGAGATACTTTACACAAAAATTAACATTCTCACCATTTAATCACCCTCATGCCATCCCAGATGTGTATGACTTTCTTCCTTCAGAAAAACAAAAACAACTATTTTTAGAAGAAAAAAAACAACAACATCCATTTGTGTCAATGGGTGCCCAAATGTTGATGGTCCAAAAAGCACATACAGCCATCATGACAGTAATCCATACAACTCCCAAAAAACCTTTTTAACTATAAACCATCACTTCTGATCGACTGTTGTACACACGTTCAGGAGAAGGCTGAGTTTATGTTAAGGGCATTGTGAGCTTCACAACACGCTTAAATGCTTATTTGTCTTCAGAAGACATTGATTCATCCACTGTGGTTGTTTGGATTACTGTTATGATGGCTGTGCACTGTTTGGAGTGTCAACATTTGGGCGCCCGTTCACTTGCATTGTATATGGACTGATATGATTGTTTTTTTTTTTATTATCTTTTTTTTTTAATCCTTGTGTTCATCTGAAGAAAGAGCGCCATATACATCTGGGATGGCAAAAGGGTTAATGAATAATGACAGAATTTTATTTTTTTTAGTGGACTATCCCTTTAATACACACACACACAAACCCTCTGTCTTCCTCTCAGAGGTTAGTGGATGTGTTTGATCTTGCGTCTCTGTAGCCTCAGGACTGTGTGATCAATGAACAGCTGAACTCTCTCACTCTTTCTATCCCTGAGGAGTAACAACCTCAAATATTCCTCACATCTGTGCTGTTTTCACACATACACATATAGTGATCAGCCAAACCAGCATGCAGCAGCACTCTGACGCCTTTATACATATGAAAACAGTGGCAACCTTTATTATCTTACAGTATAACCATAACTCCACTGTAATGCTAATAATCATATATTCTTTGCTTTATACAGATAATACAAATTAACCTAAAAAGGGCTTTTCACACTGTAAACTTTGAACCCAGTGTCAGCTAAACCCTTGGGTTTGTTAACCTCAAATAACATTCTTATTTGCATATTTATTAAGTCAATAACTTTGATTAGGTTACAACAGCCTAATTTACATAACTAAAAAGAGTAATAACAGTAATATTTAACCCACTACTTATTTAACTATACAAAAGACGCAGTATGGGGCCTTTCTGGGGAATAACTAAAAAGACTTAAGTTAATCTTTTTTTTTTGTTCGTTTTTTTTTCACATAGGTTCATTAAAATGAACAGTCAACAGTGTTGGGGGTAACGCATTACAAGTTATGTAATCAGATTACTTTTTTTCAAGTAATTAGTAAAGTTAAGCATTACTTTTTTAATTTACAAGAAAATATCTGAGTTACTTTTTCAAAAAAGTAACGCCAGTTACTTTGTTTTCCCATGTATTGACTGACAAGTCTCCTGTCCCCATATTGGGAGAAATCAGAAGTACAGAGGCGTTGTGTGCGCTGTGTGAACATGATGTTACTGTAGTTCTAGACTAAATGTGAATGTGCATTAATTCATCCCACTCACAA